CATAGATGTAGGTAGCTAGGATCTTTGGAGTATAGACAGAGGAATGCCAGAGATCCAGAAAAGACATATTCCCAATGAAAAAAATAAATGAGTGTGTGCAGCTGGGAGTCATTACAGATCAACATTATGAAGGTGATATTTCCTGCCATGGTCAGAGTACACGCCAAGGAACACCACGAACAGGACCAGCTGCATGACAGGATTTGTTGTGAAACCCACTAAGATGAACTCGGTCATCCTTTGAATGCTTCTCTCCATAGCTTAGAGACCTCGCTACAAATGGAAGAGTGAAAACTTTAATTCCTTCAATCAATACCAAAGAAGAGCATTCTCTGTGACAGGTCTGTGAGTTGGTGTCAGGGCTATGGGTATTAGAGTAAGGGTAATCTGAGCAGGAATCCTGCTTCATTTGGGTAGGTGGTGGGAGTTTTCTGAGCCTCAATATATTAATTTCAATATAAAGCATTTAATAATAGGAAAGCTCTAGTGCTGTTAGTGGGTTTACTCATCTTCAAGAAAATATTTCTTGAGCTTCGGGTGCTGTTAGGTATTGGGATACAGCAGTGAGAACGATTGGGCTGACCCTTATTCTACGAGCCTTTATTTAGAAGAGATACATAACAAATTAACATTAGACGATATTAAGAAAATAAAACTGGATGATGGGGTGAAATGAGTGGCTAATTAAACTTAGACACAAAGAGAAGAACCCCTTCTTCTATTTCTCAGTTAGAAATGGAATGGACAAGTTTTTCAAAGCCCCTATGAAGTAAAAACGTCCCTGTGGTTTAGAAGGTGGCAATACTTGAAAGATGGCAGCATATTCCACCTCAAAATATGCCACTTTGGAATAAAGATTATTTTGAGCTAATAACATTTTTTAAAAACAGCAGATACAAAAAGGGACAGTCTGATCTCTTTTTTCTTCCTGAACATAGGGACTGAAACTCTAATGCGAGAGCTGTCCTTTCCATAGCAGGAGAAAAGAAACATTATTATCAAGGACAGGAAGTTGAGACCAAAATAATTCTGCATCAAAAAACCTTGTTAAAATAATTCTTTTTTCCCTTTTTTCCTTCATGTTGTAGCATGTATCTATTTTACACTTTTTATTGCTGAATAATATTCTTTTAAGTGGATATACCATATTTCATTTACCTATTCATCAATAGATTGATATTTTATTTTTTCTATTTTTTTTTTGTCAATTAAGAACAGTGCTGCTGTGAACATTCTTGTATGTTTTGTAGGGACATATGCTTTCATTTATTTTGAGTAGATACCTAGGAGTAGAAGTACTGAGTTACATGGTGAATCTACATTTAACATTTTGAGGAACTACCCAACTGTTTTCCAAATTAACTGTACTATTTTTCAATCTCACCTGCAAGGTATGAGGGTTCCATTTTTTTTCTTTTTCTCACCAACACAAGTTATTGTTTGCCTTTTTTATTTTAGCAATCCTAGTGGTATAATATTGTGGTTTTGATTCATATTTTGATAATGACAAATGATGTTGAGAATCTTTTCATGTGCTTATTGGCTATTTGTTTATCTTCTTTGAAGAAATATCTATTCAAATCTTTGGCCCATTTTAAATTAGATTTTTTTCTTTATTGTTAAGATGTAAGAATTCTTATATAATCTGGATACAAATCTCTTTACAGAAACATGATTTGTAAATATTTTTCCCATTCTTTGTTTTAGCTTTTTACTTTCTCGATGGTCTCCTTTGATATACAAGTGTTTTCAAATTTGATAAAGTCCAATTTATTTTTTCTTTTCTTGCTTACTTTTGGTGTCTTATTCAAGAAATCATTGCCTAACCCCAGGTCACAATGATTTTCTCTCATTATTCTAAGACTTTTACAGTTTTAGTTCTTACATTTAGGTAATCAATGATACATTTTGAGTTAATTTTTGTGTATGGTGTGAGAAAAGAGTCCAACTTCATTCTTTTGCATGTAAATAACTACATGTCACAACACCATTTGTTGAAAGGATTATTCTCTCCCCATTAAATTGTCTTGTCAAAAATCGTTTGACCATTGTTTTAGTTTTCTAATGCTTCTGTAACAAATTACCTCATACTTAGTAGTTTAAAATGACACAAATATATATTATCATCCAGTTCTGTAGATTAGAAGTACAACATGGGACCAAATGGGCTGAAATCAAGATGTTAGCAGAGCTGTTCCTTTCTGGGAACTCTTAGGAAGAATCCATTTCCTTGCCTGGTCCAGCTTCTAGAGGTTGCCCACATTCATTATTCATGGTCCCTTTCTTCCATCTCCAAAGACAGCACCATTGTATCTCTATGACTATTCTTCCATAATTACATCTTCCTCTCCATTCTATTCCATTGATCTTCATGTCTATCCTTATGGCAGTAACTCACCATCCTAATTCTGTAGCTTTATAGTAGTAAGTTCACTTGTGCATTTAGATTTATTTTTTTTCTCTTTTGTCCTTTTCTGTAATATGAATTGCTCTTTTTTTTGTTGCTACAAGTGAGGTATTATTTCTCCTAGTGAACTCTCAGTAGTTTCAAAGCCTTTGATAGGAAGATCGTGAGATGACATACCAAAAGAGATCCTTTCTTTAGCCCTTTTCATATCTCAGTATGTAAATAACCTTTGGACTGGTTGTGAGGAACAAGCAAAATTTCTACCTACCAATAACATCTGAATTAGACAACTTACCTAAAATTCTCAGCAATGCCATCACTTCAACAGAATTCAAATCTGCCTGTCCCAGAATCTTTTATATCAGTTTGTGGTTCTCGAGGGTTGTAGATTTCTCCAATCTCTCAGGATTTCATAAATTGGAAAATAACTAATAAGACAATTAAACAAAATTATATGTTGACAAATAAGGTATTATTTAAAGATGCATAAAATTTTTTTGAGACTATTATTTCCTGGTGAAAATGTAATCAATCATAATTTGCATTCTCTTTTTTTCTTGAGTT